TTCTACTGTAATTGTGCTTCAGTGGAGCATGGTTCTGGTGTCGCTCAACTCTGACATGTGTCCCAAGATAAACCTTTATCCATGGCCTAAGTACATGGACGCACAAGGACCTAACTGGCGTGGTGGCTGCAGGTCGGAGGTCATCCTAATCCTGCCTGGCCTTCCTCCCTGGCCCCTTCCTCTGCGTTTTGAAGTTCGGAACCTGGGTTCAATTTCACTGGTTTATTTATAGCATGGGTCTTGAACCTACTTCTTCACACATACAAGACAAGCACTCTTCCACCCAGCCACTTCCCCAGCCCCATTCCTTTCTTTTGACTATTTTCTGTTTTGAGTCAGGGCCTCCCTAAGATTGTCCATGCAAGGCCTTGAACTTACCGCCCTCCTTCCTCAACATCCTGAGCAGTTGGGACTTCAGATGTGTGCTACTGAGCCTGGCTTTGCCATTCAGAGTTTAACCCTGCCTTGGTGTCAGATCTGGGGAGGCTGTCCGGGGAAAGCGCCCTCTCCAGATGTTATCTCAAGGCAAGTGTAGCAGGATAGGACAGGGAAGCCGGGGTGGAGGGGTGGGGTAGGGCAGGTGTTACCATGGAGACTCATGCCAGCAGCCAGCACCACTCTCCAGGGTACCCTCCATGCCCTGCATGTCACGTCAGATACTACATGAGCTTCAGCATGCAGAGGGTAAGGTATGTGCATGTTCACGATGCTGGCCTTGCACCAACAGCTGGCGAGAGACAGTCTATTCTGAGGTCATACGTGTGGCCTGACATGAATCAAGGGAGGGCTTTCCCAGCAGGAGGCCTTGCAGTATGGAAAGGGTTGTTTGGCAGAACATGTGGAGCTGGGGACAGAGCAGAAGCCCAGGCCCAGGCCAGCACATCCTCTAGCTACCTGGAGAGCTGGGAGTTGGAAAAGTGAGTGTGGAGGCCAGGAACAGCTGGATAGCCCTCCGGTTAAAGTTGATGAGGCATTTCAAGGTCATCTGGAGACCTCATCGGTGCTGTGGTATCATTTGGTCCATGAGAACTATTTTTTTCGAATTGTTCTAACCAGGCCTAGAAGCTTGGACAGAGACCACCTTCTCTTTCAGAAGCATACAACTTCCCTATAATAGAAAGCTGTGTGGGGCAGGGAGATGCAGATGGCTGAGGCGTGGGCGGGGCTTTATCCCTGCTGGGGCAGGCGCGGCCAGGCTGTGATCCCAGGACCCGGCCTGTCTGTACACAGTCCCTGTGCTTTAGGTGTGTGTAGGTTTCTGATGGATGAACGTGTACACACTGGTGGAGGAGGGGCTGTGCCCACAGTGTGCTTGGGACAAGCTGCAGTGTGAGTGAGTGCTCACAGTGTGTCCATGCACAGACAAAGAATGTCACCGTGCCCATGCTGATGGTGTGTGTGCTGTGTGCACTTGAAGGTAGGGCTGTCTTGCCGAGCTCTTTCCGGTGGGTGTGACAGGAAGAGGGCCCCAGGCGGCTGGAAATGCTGTTAGCTTTCAGGTTTGCCTGCTTCTTTCTTCTCCACCTGAGGCTGGGGTATTTAGATTGGGAGAAATCCTGAGCCTCCCAAGGCTCCGCTGATGGCCCCTATTTGTTTCATTTGCATTGTTTTTTGTTTGTTTGTTTTAGTCGGGGCTCTGCCACTCATCTTCCTAGGGAGGGCGTGGTCCTGCTTTCCCTACCATATTCAGGTTCTCCCGGCTCCAGCCCCTGAGGCCCAGGGGTCCACACACTTGCCTCTTAGCAGATGACCTCAGACTATCTGGCTCCACAGGGAGTCTGGCTGGGGCTTACTGTCCTGCCCTTGGGAGCATTTGTCATCTGGCAAGCACCCACTTTACTTCCTAAACCTATCTCTCCTCTCAGCCAGTCCCAGGAAGGAGGGGGTGGAGCCGAGTGGCCTTTGCTGTGAGGTAGCCATGCCCGGCGGCAGTATAGACATTTCTTACTCTCTGAGGCTCCTGCAAGTCCTCCTGGCCTCCACAGCCTCTCCCTTACCCCCCTTAAAACAGTAAAGTGCTTTCCCCCTCTGGGGGTGCTGAGGTCATAGAAACAGGTTTCTTTCCACGTGGGGTCAGCTTACTCGAAGTGCACCATGGTTCCCAGCCTGCAAAGGTGCTAATAGCATATTAGATATGAGGCTCCCTTCCCTTCCTGGTGGTGGTGATGGTGGGGGTGGGGAGGGAGAAGTTCTAGCTGCCCCTCATTCGGTGACCCCTGCCCGCTGGACCCCAGCAGACTGTGGCTACCCGCTGTGGTGGTGGTGACAGGTTCTCACGGCTACAAACCAACCTTAGGGCGGAAGCTGGGGATAGGATTTCCCCCAGACTGACAGCCTCCAAGGCTTCCCAGGACCGGTTCTAGCGCCTTGAAAATGACCGGCAGGCTCAAGCAGCTGGATCAGAACTCTCTTATCTCGAGAGTGATACTTGACTGGGGCTAGTGCCCTACATGTACCCCGGAAACAGACAGGACCCTTAATCCACGTGGACATGAATGCTCAGGCCTTTACTTGACATGAAGAGAAGCCTTTGACATTCAATGCCGTAGCATGGCCTTTGACTGAAACAGTAAGGGAATAACACATCCGGCATGTTTGACTGGACTGGCCTCTCAGCTGGCCTCTGAGAACTGCGCCTGCTCACAGGGGACAGAGTCAGGGGAAGAGCCGCTGCTGAGGCCTGCAGGCTTCTCTAGCCAGGCTGGGAAAGATGCAAGGGGTCCTAGGTTTGTGGACCGCCTCTGGCTAGTTAGGGAGTGATTTCCCATCCAAAGAGGAAAGGGTTGGGCTAGGAGTGGCTCAGTGGTCAGAAGGCTTCATACAAGTTTGAAGAACAAGGATTGGAGCCTCAGGAGCCATGTAAATGCTGGGCGGGCATGGTTGGCCCACCCCTAATTTAGTATAGGGAGGCCAAGAGAGGGAATCCTGAGTGTAAGCTAGCTAGAGCACGACCAGCCATGCCTGTGATCTCTGGGTTTGACTGACAGACCCTGCCTCAGTAAGGCAGAAGAGTGATGGAGAATGATTCTCAGCCCCTACGTCTGGTCTCTACGCACATGCTTATACACATGCACTTAAGAGTGGATAAAACAGGGAAAAAAAGAAAAAAGGAAAGGATTGATTCATCCACAGGCAAAGGAATGTTACGTAGTCTTGACTTCTAGGAAAAGAAACCCTCTGGTCCTGCCCTAGCTTCGTACAAGCAGGACTCTAAAGAGGCCGCCTGCCTTGTCAGGGGAAGTGTGAAGGGCCTTCTAGACATGCTCGTACACACTCCGTCTGTTAATGAGGGGCTGGGAGCCCAGCTGTGCCCAGCCATCTACCTGTTTTTCTCCTGTGAGCTATGCATAGGGAACTTGTACCACATTTGGCTTCCATTCAGCCGGTAGTCATCTCAGGGACCTGTCTCCAGCTTTGAGCAGCTTCCTGCTCACGGAGGGGCTCAGCAGGGGGTGAGAATCCGTCTCGGAGTGGAAGCAGCTGAAGGCACAATTTGCTCGACAGTAACCCCAACTCCAGCCTAGATAGAGAAGTATAGTAATGAGCAGGCGCCCGGGCAATTAGCGCTCCCTTGGTGATGTCACTCGGGGCCCCTGGAGGACCACATCTGTCCCCGAGTGGCAGATTTCTCTTGTCTGACAAACCTGTAGGGTAGGGAGCTTGGCTTTGTTCAGAAAGATGTCTTTTGTCTGTTCATCCACTGAAGGCAGACACAGCCAGCAGCCCTCCTCACAAGTCGCCAGCCTTCTCCTTCTCTCCAGTGCCATCATGCAGTGAACCGGTTCTTCCTCCAAAGCTTAGAGCTTCCCTCCTTGGTACCCCTCCCTTTGTTCCTGGGCCCCTCTTCCCACTGGGGTGATGCTCATCCCTCTGGGATGACAGCTGACAGCCCTCCTCCTCAGCTTAATGATTCAGCCTCAGAGCCACAGGCTTCCTGGCTCTAGTTTCCGCTTCTCTCTGCCTTGCTTAAACAAGGCCCGAGGGACTCCTCGTCCAAATAAGGTGGCTCCTGGTGACAGGTTGGAATGGCCAAATGCCCCACCTGTGAAGGACTGTGGGATTGTGGAGAATGTTCTCTTGGGCTCGAGCTTTCTCAGACCTGCGTGCAGGTTTGGGCACTGGCTGGAGACTGGGGAGACCAGTGGGGAGACCAGGCAAAGTCCCCACATGTCCCTGAGGTCTCTTCAGACATTATGCACAGGCGCTAAAATGTAATGCTTGCCTGTCCCTTTAGCGTGGGTTCTTATCTGACAGCACAGTCTGAATTGGCATCTTTATCTCTGAGCCAGTTGCTCCCATTTATCATTTATAGCATACTTCCACAGTCTGCTTGAAAATTGTAGTGAGCTGCCTTGTTTTGGCTGTGTGAAGACTCCCCTCCACCCCCCCTTTTCTAAAGATCCAGGCAGAAGACACTCGGCAGACATTCCCTAGACATTCGATGTGACTGTGTGACAATAGGCCCTTTCAATTATTCATAGAGGAATTAACAATGCATTGATTATATTATTTAATCATAAAGCAACTGTTTATAAACCTTGTATCAATTACTTGTATTTATGTACATCTATAAGGAGTAAGTAAAAAAAAAAAATAAAACCCTTGCAAATGAAATGTTGAGCTAATTGCCTGTTAGTACAGACACGTGTGTACCATATTGAGAAGAGGAAATGACCCATGGTCCAGTGCTAAAAAGGCTCTGTCCACCTGTCCTGCTTTTAAGATAGGAATGGTGGAGCATCCTGGACGCTGCCTGGACAAGTGCTCTAAAAACCTTAAGCAATACGCATGTGCCGTGATCATGGCTGTAAGCTATGAGGTCACTGTGGGAAACAGGCAGTACATAAAACAGACACAAGGTCTGCTTCTAGACTAGACTGTCGCTGTAAGTCTTTCCAACTGCACCGTGGGAGACTGTGCCTTTGGCTCCAGCAGTTCAGCACTGGGGTCAAGCAAAGCATGCAACTGTTAGAAAATGAATCCCAATCTGCATCTTGCAGGATACAAGACCCTTTTGAAAGGGATTTCTGGGAAATTCAACAGTGGAGAGCTGGTGGCCATCATGGGTCCTTCTGGAGCTGGGAAGTCCACACTCATGAACATTCTGGCGGGATACAGGTGAGCAGATGCCAGCAGAGAGAGCTGTGGGGGGAGTGGAGCTGCTTTACTGCTGTCAATGAGAGCATTCTGTCATCTGCTTGCTACCAGAAGCTTGGCTCACATGGGCTCCTGGGAAAATGTATGTGTGCATGCATGCCTGTGTGTGTATGTGTGTATGCATGCTTGCATGCCTTTGTGTGTGTGTGTTGCATGTTTGCATCCAGAGCTTGAGAATCCATGATGGAAACAGCACAGAGACACAATTTAAAAGCCTGCACAAGGCATGGGGAAGAGACCACAGGCAGATGGACAAGGCAACTTCCTACTCAGCTCCTCCCTTAGTGCACTCCCTGGACAGGAAAATGTATCAAGGTCAAGATCTGGGGGAACAGTGGTCAATAGGACAGCATGCTGGGAAGTTAGACAGAAGAGAATGAGGAGCTGTCATTCAAGGCTTGTGGTTCAGGACTTCAGATATCACCATTGCCAAGGTCGTGCCAAGGCCTCGCCAAGGCCTCTCATCTGTGTGTGATTCTAAAGTGCTTAAGAAAGGCTTTTTAAAATCCTGTTCTCACAGGGTTCACGGGATAACTTGATAACAAGGAGTGGCAGCAGCAGTAATCCATAGTTAACCATGGTCAGAAAGAATTAAAATCCCATTCTAAACTATTCAAACCTGACTTGCACACATTTTTTAAAAAGAAATATGATGAAATCTAATACCACCGTTTTTCCACCCAGGACATGGATCCAGTGTCTCCACCCTGTATGCCTGTTAGCTGTCCAAGCAATCAGATTGGCTAGAGGGATACAGTTTTTACAGTTTTGTTCAAGGGACCCTTCTTTTCCTTAATAACATCCCCAAAGTATAAGGATGGGAATGTTGACAATTTTATTACAACACATTATAGTTGTTCTCTTCTATTAGTTGTTATAACTAATCTCTTGCCATGTTTAATTTATACATTCAACTTAAGAGAGGAAAGGTCTGTTTGGTCTCACAGTCTCAGAGGGCACAGTCACAGGAAAGATGGCATGGGAGCTGAAGCAACCAGGTTTGTGGAAACTGGAGGGCTTCCACAGGTGAGGGCTTCTCGATTCCTGGCACTGCCCGGGAAGCAGATAGAATGGAGCCTGAGGCAGAGCCAGGCTTTAGCCTTTAAAGGCCTGTCCTCACAGTGACACACCTCCACCACCCAGCCTCCACAGCTTCCCATATCAGCACCACAATTTGGGGACTAAGAGTTCAAGCACAAATGCAAGCCAGAACATGATATAGTTCCTCAGAATAATAATGGACGCCTATAAAACTAATGATTTTAATTACTGGAGTAGGGGCGGGGAGGAAAGGTAAATCTCACCATTCTTAGAGCTCTGAATTGCCTCTTAATATCAAGAGATTATGATTTTCAAAACTGTCACCGTAAGTTCCTGTTCATTAGATTCACATTTAAAGGCCGAAGCCAAATTTTCAACTCCCAGAGTCAAGACACGGAGGGAGCAGAGTGTGGTATTTTCTCGGGGCTGGCTGTTCTTCAGATCACTACAGCAGTTCCTAGAAGACCAAGGGTGCTTGTGTATCCCAGAGATGCAGAGGCATCCCTGCCAGGCTGGGTACCCAGAGGAAGCCAGCAGGGCTGCCCATCGCTCGGGAGGAAAGTGGGACCTACTACAAGGCCCTTGGCCTAGGAAGCTGGAACCCAGAATGATTCTGTTAGTCCCCACAGGTTCCTTACTGCTACTGTTCTCTGTGGCCATGGGGAGGTAGAGCTACAAAGATGTGTCTTTGAGAGGAAAGGAAGATGGAGAGCCTCTGGAAGCCAGCTCTCCTGGTGCTTACAAGCACCTAAGAGGCTCCCAATCTCCTCACCTTGCACCTGGGCCAGTCACCGGGCAGAATTGTCATGGCCGGCTACTGTCTCTGAGCCACCTGAGCCTGAGGCACTTGCTTGCTACACTTGTGGTCCTGGTGCAGTTGATGTAGTCTGGGCAGCAGATAGAGCCACCAGTGATGTATGCCTTTGCCCCACGCTTGTACTGAGGGGCATCCCCAGGTATCTCTGTGCAGCAGGCAGAGAAAAGAAGCCGTTTCACCATCTGGCACGATAAACGTGCTGTCTGGAGAGGCCGGGTGTGTGGCTTGTCTCCCCACTGATCACTGGCTCCCGCAAGGGTACCAGTGTGATGCTGTGGGTCACTGGTCCCTTTGCCTCGCCCTGTTGTCGTGGCGAATGGTCCTGCTGGGAAGAGCCGGGAGGGAGGGAGGGAGGCCCCCCTCTCTTGTTTGCTTCCCCAGCACGCCTTAAAAGGCGGGATGCTGAAGGAGCCGGGCTCATGGCCACCTTTTCTCCTTGTCCTTGCAGGGAGACGGGCATGAAGGGGGCGGTCCTCATCAACGGCATGCCCCGGGACCTGCGCTGCTTCCGGAAGGTCTCATGCTACATCATGCAGGATGATATGCTGCTGCCTCACCTCACTGTTCAGGAGGCCATGATGGTGAGCCGCCCCTGCCCTTGGCACCTACACACATGTGGTGCACAGCTCGGTGAAACCAAATCCCTGAGACGAGGAGTTTCAATAGGTCTTGGAAAAGTCACAACCAAGTGTCTGAGATTACTGATCACTAAGTTGAATGACTGTTTCCATGGTAACCACCTTCCTATCTTCCCCCTGGGCTAAGCAATTTCCCCTCTGCTTACTTGGGATTTAAAGGGTGACAGAACACCATAACCAAAAGCAGTGGGGGAGGAAAGGGTTTATTTCATCTTTCAACTGTAGTCCATCATCCAGGGAATTTGGGGCAGGAACTCAAGGCAGGAACTAAGACAGGTCCATGAAGGACTGCTGCTTCCTGGCTTGCTTCTCATGGCTTTCTCAGCCTCTTTTCTGACAGCACCCGGGACTGCCACCAGCCCAGGGGTGGCACTTGCCCACAGGCCAATCTGCTAGGACTATTTTCTCAATTGGGGTTCCCTCTCTCCAGATGACTCTAGTGTACTTCAAGCTGACATAGCCTAGCAGCCATGTCACTGTCCTTGAATCATCCTGTCTTTGGTGGAGTGTTAGTTCTCTTCCATCTGCCAGGTAAAAAGACAGAATCAGCCATTGGTGGATACCCACAGAGTCTAGGCTATGCAGTCTCTAGAGAGTAGGGGTGAACAGTGCCTCCAGGAATTAAGAGTGTGAGGCAGTTCTACCCAAGCCACGCGGGGACCCTGAAGCAGAGCTCTGGCTCTAAGGTCTCTGAGTTTCCCTGCTTAACTCTTCCTCTTTCCATGACGTTTCCTTTAGCCCCTGCCTCACCTATGGGACTATTTCAGTGTTGCTGGCATAGTGGTGGATGGGTGTCACAGGAAGGTAGGAGGTATGGGGGAACCTGGGCCTTGGGGCTCATCAGTGCCGTCCTTACAGGTCTGCCCTGGTTCTTTCCACTCCTCTTGCATCTTCTCACTCTATCTTCCTAGGAGACTCCAGTGCATAAGTCCAGGAGGAGTTTAAAAATATACCTTCCCCTCTGGGGCCATGCAAGTGTCCAGATGGTGCCCGTGTCATAGGTTTCCAGAACAGACAGGCTGTGCTCTTTGCACAGACTGTGTCCCCACTACTACAGGAACTCTGGGCTTCTAGGACCGTATGTATGTATGTATGTATGTATGTATGTATGTATGTATGTATGTATGTATGTATGTATGTCAAGGACAGCCCACGTGACCTCGCTGTCAGTAGAAGAAGCCTCTAGAATGTGTCTCATTAAAGGATAATTTTAAAAACCATCACCCAGTCCCGGTTGGTAGACTCGGCTTGACTTTGTGCCTAGCTGGCATTGTTTCTTGGCTTTCTCAGGGTCACTGTAGCATTGGCCTCCCCTGGCCCTAAAGAGGACATTGTCAGAAACTGAGCTTCGGTAGGCGATGAGATGATTATGTTGGCGGCCTTACGTGGAATGAGGTCTTGCCCTCGTGTCCATGACTTGAATTAGGCAGAGTCCAGGCAGCGGCCACTACTCAGTACTCCGAGTGACTCCAGGGGACTCTTAGATCAATAAAGAAAAGTGGGTTAATGTTTTTAGATCTGAGATCTCCTCCACTTGCTTTGTGGGAAAAGGGGAAGGGAGGGCCTGGTAGGGTGGCTTTCATTCTTCTGCCCTGGGACTGGGTAAGGGGTCACCTGTCCATCACCCAGTCTCCATGAACAGTGGCTCCAGGGAGATCTGCCTGCTTACCTGGCCTCCAGTGGCTCAGAGGATTCAAAAAGGATTTGCACACAGACCCAGCCAGGAAGCCTACTGAGAAGGTTTCCCTCATCTCAAGGCTCGTTCCTCACGTGCTTGTATTTGTCTGCTCCTGTGAGTCCCCAAGTGAGCTCTGTGTGTTGGGTGACCCGACTGTAGCGCTTGCTGAGTCACTAGTGGACCATTGTAGTTGCAGGTGTGAGAACCATGGCTTTGGCTCTCCAGCTCCATCACTGTTCTCTTTTGCTCCAGGGCTTGCTGTGAAATGCATCTGTTCTCAGAATCACATACGGTGAGGTCCTCAGTTGAGGGCTTTCACGGCACCTTTTGGAAATGTTTCTCTCTAACGTTTTACCCTTTGAGGTCCTGTCTCCCCTGGGCCCCACTTCCTGGCCACTGGCTCCTGACCTACAGCAGTTATACATTTTTAGGCGCTTCTTTTGCCTCGGGTCCATCCTGACACATCCTTGTGAGTGTCATGAGACAGGCAGCTGGCCTTGTAGAGGTGGTACAGGTCCACCTTTGTTCCAGTCTGAGGCCCAAGGCCTCTTCACCTGCCTCCAGTCTCTGATCGGCAAGTTCACTAATTAATGAAATAGATTTTAAACTTGTTTTTTGTGCTGATGAGGAAACTGAGGCCCAGGTGTGCCCAAGAACCCAGAGTCTGGTATACTATAAACAGGGCTGAACCTGGACTAGCTGATTCTGTCTCATGGTTTCACCAGGCTGGGGACCCCACACTGTACTAGTAAACAGGATCTGAATAAGCGAACCAGGAAGTTCATCCTGCTGTCCCACACCTGCCACCCTCGCAGGGTGACAGCTTCAAGTCAGCAATGGTTTATCACCTGATTTGTGTACTACTGGTCCCCACCTAGTCTGTGGTCAAACCATGCTGCCTAGGCGGTCCTTGTCTCTGTGCTGTATACATCTGAGTGATCTCATGGGGATACCAGATATAGCCAGAAACATAGCAGACCCATAGAGCTCTCCCAGGACCCATACCTCTGTCAGGCCGTGGGCATGGGAAACTGGGGCCTCTCCGGTCTCATGAATCCATTAAACAGCTAGAGGAGTTGATGGGACCCTGGACCACGGTGTGGCCCTGGACTTTGTTTGCATCCTGTGGGGCTCAGCCTCCTCACTGTCGTCTCTTGCCCACAGGTGTCTGCGCATCTGAAGCTGCAGGAGAAGGACGAAGGCAGACGGGAGATGGTGAGTGTGCCGATCCAATCCGCACGTGGCCCAGAGCGTGATGGAAGCACATGCGAGGGGTGGGGGAGGAGGGGGCCTGTTCCTGCCTGCTGGATTTTTTTTTTCTGTTGATTTTCTTTGCCTCCCCCTGAGTGTGTCTATGTGGGTGGGTGGGCGCATCAGCAAGTGTGGGGCAGGGTGCAGTGGCTGGAGTCCAGGAGAGGTGGCTCTGGGGCTAGACTGGCATTTAGATCTAGCAATCCGAAGCCTTAGCACCCCCAGAGGGACAAGATGCAAACCTCAGGGCCTGGCCAAGGGCTCCGCCCCCTCGGCTGCTTAATACATTTTAGATTAAACTTTTTTTTTTCCTTTTTTTTATGAAACACTGACAATGGAGATGGTTAGTCATTGGTTTAAAAATAACTTCCCTCCACCCACATACCTTTGCAGGGAGAAATTGGGCTCTTACGTGCTATTAACCAGGCTTTTACAAAGAAAATAAAAATCATTCCCAGCCTATCTGAGGCTTTCCTCCTCCCTTTTTTTTTTAATCCGTTTTCCTGGCTCCCTGAACCCTCAAGGAGCAGGGAAGGAAACAAGTAAGCAGGTGCCCCGGGAGGTCCTGGTGGGGTGGGGTGGAGTGGGAGTACCAGTCGGTAGGTAGTGACGGGCCACCTAAGGAAGGCTAAGCTTGCCTCTGCCTCGCTGTCCCTCTTGCTACTGGGATGCTCCACAGAAGATAATTGTAGCAGAAGGTCCCCTTACAGGATGTTATCTGTGCCTCTGACACCTGGGGTCAGGGGACGGTGCAGTTGTCTGGCAGTTGCCAGGGGCCTAGTGTGACACACATCACGTGGCAGGGCAGCGTTAAAACACTCACCCCCGGAAGTATTTGTTGCCATCCTGTGCGCACACCCTCCCCTCACTGCCCAGAATGGCTCAGAAGATGTAGACTTAAGGTGGCCGGCTGTGGAAAGGCAGCGCCCGACAGCCTTGAGTGACAGCCTTCCCCTTTCTCACAGGACCCTCACGCTCTTGGGGTTCTCTGTCGTGGTAGTGGGGCGTGCAGTGTGGAGAGGCAGAACTCATTTCTGAGACGAAAACAGTTCCCCGGAACTACTCAAAAACGTTTCCCGTGGAAGTCTCTTATTCTGAGAACAAGAGGAAGAAAATGAACCATTTGTGCCCAGCCCAGGGAAGATGTAGAAAGTTCAGGGACCAAATATGGGCAGTTGAATGGGGCTTGTAACCTTGGTCATATAGGATGAGCCTCAAGGGCCTCCGTGGTCTCCGGTTCTCTCTGAATAATGTGACTTAGAAAGACACCACCAACCATCTCTCAACGGACTCCCATCCTCATCCCTCCCTCCACTGCCCCTGAGAGTGAAGACAAGAACAGACAAGGCTTAGGGGATGACTCTCACTTCCCCAGGAAGATAAGCTGCAATTCTAACTCCGGGGCTTCAGAATTAACAGGCTGCTGTTTGCAGAGGGTGTTGGGATGGCCCTGATCAAATCTCACTGTGTCCTTACGAGAAGAGGGGGCCAGGACATAAGGTTACTCAGAAGGATTACTGTGGAGGGCCCAGGAAGACGCCACCTGCAAGCCATCTGAAGAGGCGCCATCTGAAGACAGGGGTCAGGAGGGACTGGGGGAAACAATACCACCCACACCTTGAGTTTGACCAGCTGGCTCTCAGATTCCAAGGTGGCCATGTCCAGTGTCTGTGTCTTTAGTTTGGGATGCTTTGTCATGGCAACCTGAGCTGACTCAAGGTAAGCCACAATTGAGATGGCAAAAAGAAAGCTCTAGAAAGGAAGAAGAGGAGAGAGGAACACGATGTGCCAAGGTGAGCCTGAGGTGACCAGCAGCAATGGAAGGGCTCCTCCATCCTTCATCTGAGGCCAGCACCAACATTCCCTGACCCTGCCTTCCATCTTTCACTGGGTAGGAGGAAGGCCAGAAAGGAGAAACAAGTCCAGATGGAGTGCTGTCCTTCGGAGCACCCCTGTGGCTCTTGGTGACAGATCAGAAGACTGTGGTTGCCCTGGGACCACTTCCTATCCCTAGTCCCTCCCATCCACCAGCCTCTTGGGCTCCACAAGGGCCCAAAGCACCATCCAACCTCTTCGATGCCTCACTAGTGCCTGATAGTTGCCACCAAGCAAAGCAACGATGGCAATGCCGATTGTCCTTCCTGGTGTGGAAGACACTGGGTCTCTCTGGAGGGTGAGCAGTTGGGAAAGGAGCTTTGTCTCTTGGGCTCAAACCAAAGACCCAAGGTCAGGGCTGACCACAGACTCTTATGGTGTGGAGATGAGCAGGCCGGAAGGGGAGGGTCCTACAGAGAAGTAGAGCTGACCACACAGGCGGCCTCTTTAACCCTAGCTTCCCTGAGCCTTGCTGGATAACTTGGCCTGTGTCACCCATGCACGAGACCCCATTGCCTTTTCAGGTGGTGTCAGCCGAATAAGACTGTCTTTCAAGTCTTCAAGTTGATAAGGTCAATGTGAGTGTAGGGTGGGGAGATGGTGGGTTTCTCCACAGCTGTGGCTCTGTGGTTAGCCTTTCCCTGTGCATCTGGGGAAGTAGACTTCACAGCACTGGGGCCTCTGTGCAAGTGACCGCCGTGAGGCAGGCGTTTGGCCTTGCGTGCCGTCTTTGCCTCTGACACTGTTCGGCACTGTCAGAGTCTGTCTTCTAGCTCCGGTCCCGCTTGTGGGTGCTGGTCAGGAGCCCACTCTGCTGCTGGAGTGAAAGATTAAATTTTTTGAAGAGGCCTGGAGCCTTCTGGAAAGTCATAGCTGGGCCTCAGTCTGACAGGACCGTCACATGTCATGCATCCATCATTCTATTCTAAGAAATGTCCCTGCAAGAGCCAACTCTAAACCCCTCCTCCAATCGTAGCTCGTGTTGAGCGTCACAGCAAGCCAGCCACATAGGTCTGAGACACTGGTGTGTCCTGTGTGTGTTTGTCATCAGAAATCCCACTTGCTATGGCTCTCTTCTCAGCTATATACGGCTCCCGCCTCTTCCACGAGCCCGTAACAGCCATCTCAAGGACAGATTTGTATCTGGACACCTCTCTGACTCATTTCCCATCAGCACCTGCAGTACCTCCGTGTGTAGGATGTGGAAGAACAATGGAATGGCATGTTCTAGCATATCATGGAGTATGCTGGTCATAGCCTGTCTCGTTTCCCAGAAAAGGCACCTTGGCCCTGAGGAGTCCTCTGGTAGAGCTGCTTCCTCCAGAGGGAGGTCACTATGGTCCTGTCTTGTGCTGCTGAGACCATCTCTAGAGGATGAGGCTCCAGGAGACTTGAAGCACAAGTGACCGTGGGGAGTTAAGTTTTGCTTATTTAGGAAGACATATAAAGGAGCCCATTGTTTTTTTTCTCTCCAGCTACTTTTAAACCAAAACCAAACCTATATAGAAAGTGTCACTTCTGAGACAAGGCTGGAGAGGACCAGGCCTGATGGTTGTAGAAACACATCACGCGGGCAGAAGGGCAGCCACCGATTGGTGGCCTCTGTTTCCATCCCTTGTCGTGAAAGTGAGACAAAGAGGGGGTGCACTGTGTGTATGGAGCATCCCTCAGAGGAAACAACCACAGCCACCCTGCAGAATCAGCCAGCTGTCTGGAAGAGCCGGAAGCCTGCGCAGGCACTGTGGCAAGAAGCAAAAAAATGCCAAAAGGAAATGCCTGTCCACCGTGGCCCTGCCTCTCTGGCCCTTCCCAGACAGCCATGCTGAAGCTGTTCCCAGACTGACATCCATCTCTCAGAGGCACAATGTTCCGGGAGACAGCGGTGCTGGGTTGACATCATCAGAAGAAGAAGCAGACAGGACTCGATCCCGGGGCCCTGGCCCCACACTGCACCTGCTCCCGGCCCCACCAGCGCTGGATTCCGAGTGGTTCGGCCACCAGAGTTTCACTTTGTACCGACCACGCGTAAATAATTGAGAAGTCCGGAGCGGAAAGTTTCTTCTTTGTGAGTTCTCCTCCTGTTGGATGACTTCATCTCCCCAGAGAAGCCACTGGCCAAGGTCCTCCTGGTATGGCCACCAGGGGCTGGCTGCCTCAGAGATGTCCCGCTTCTGGGTGAACTCTAGAGGGAATCACTGAGCCTCCAGAAGAGGTGCCTGGCAGAGATGTGGCAGCTGGCTCCGCCCCTGCCTCCCAAGAGCCTGCTGACCTTTTTGTTCCCTCAGCCAACACCAGGTCACCATCCTGGGCCAACCAAAGGACTATTCATAGGACTAGCTGTGTCTGTCTCTATTCTCAGCCTTCATCCCAGGGCACCGGACAGGGGTAGCCACTCTGTCAGTTAGAGCACAAGTTTGCTGCCTCGAGCCATCTATCTGAGTGAAGACTCCAGCCCTTGGCTTGACCTCCCGGCACTACTTCTTGCCTCTTGACAGTTCTGTCTGTCTCCCCAGGAAGGACCACAGGTTTAGAGACTGCACCTGCCGCACACCTGGGATGGCCCAGTCCTGTGGGCATCTGTGTATGGACTAGCGAGGTTGCCCCAGGCAGGGTAGGGCCTCCCACGGAGCTCGGCATGTGTTCCTGATAGTCATGAGGCTGGAAGGTTGTCTCCTAATAAGGACTCTGCTTCTTGTTGCCCACAGGTCAAGGAGATTCTGACGGCACTGGGCTTGCTGCCCTGTGCCAACACGCGCACGGGGAGCCTATCGGGTGGCCAGCGGAAGCGCCTGGCCATTGCACTGGAACTGGTCAACAACCCTCCTGTCATGTTTTTTGATGAGCCCACCAGGTAAGCCTGTGACCGGTGTCTGGACCAGTGACCAGAAAGAGACAGGGAAGAGTCACTTACGGAGTCTGTTCTGAGGTTCCCAGAGGTGGCCCTACCATCCTGGTATGGCCTTGGAGGAGCTGCCATCTGTGGGATGGCAGGACAAAGCCACTGGCTCAGAGGCCTGTGTGTGCTTGGGACATGGGTACTGAATGTAGGGGCTCGGAAACAGCCCTTCATTGTGTCCATCTCTCCCTCCTTCCCGAGGTACCTGTGGGGTGCTTTGAGAAAGGGGCCTGATGTCTTACGTCTTTAGCGCCCCCTCCCATTTTGGGTGTCTCACTGCCTTTGTGTGACTGTGTGAATTCTGACCTCTGTCCTGGACACACCTGCGTATATTCGGGGAGATGCGGGTCTCCAGTCCTGGCTCCCAAACACACGGGTCGCCAGTCAGTCAGTCTACCTTTCCCCCAAGCATGTTGTATTCAGGCATTTCCAACAAAGTAGTAGGCTGGCTGTACAGGGCTGGCCCCGGCTGACTTCACCCGGACCTTTTCATCTCCTTCCCACTGTGTGCTCATCTCGTGAACTTGAGAGCCATCTGCGGCATCCCAGGGAGGGTCACCTCCGCCTCAGCCCAGCTGAGCGCCTGGCCCACAGTGGGTGGTTCTCAGGAGGGCCTGAGAGACAAACTCGAGGAACCTTTAATATCGCCTCTCATAGGCTCACTGCTGTGGGGGAAAGCCAGTGCCTGGGGCTGCCCACTGTGACTCATTCTCATTGTTGGCAGCTACGAAGTAGAAGCAAGGCAGGCCTGGGAGTATTCAAGCAGGAGAGGAGAGAACTTGCAGGGGTACCAGAGCCTGGCAAACCCCTGCAAGCCTCAGGACATCGCCTCCTCACAGGAGGTGTCGATATAGCCAATAAAACATCAGAAGGCGTAGAGCAGCCCCAACCATCCTCTCTAACAGCCCCCGAGTGGGCGGAAGGGTGTGGCATTGTGACTACTGACTGCCAGGCCTCACCGCTTACTCTGGAGGCCAGCTATTTACCCAGACAGCTCTGCTGTCCCTTGCCCGGGCAGGTGGGCATTCCTTCCCACCCCCATTCCACAGCCAGCGCACAGTTCCACAGCTGAGCTCCTGCATCCTTGTCAAGAGTGGCATACAGCACACACAGCCCTCATGAAAGTGTCCGGCTGAGAAGAGCCTGACTTTGGGGGTGTAGCTCCAGGTCCTGTGACAGGCCCTCCCTCAGTGGTGATGTGAGACACTGGACCTGTGCTTCCCATTCTCAGTGTCTCGTGGTGTCTTTGACTTGCAGTGGTCTGGACAGCGCCTCCTGCTTCCAGGTGGTGTCCCTGATGAAAGGGCTGGCCCAGGGCGGCCGCTCCATCGTCTGCACCATCCACCAACCCAGCGCCAAGCTTTTTGAGCTCTTTGACCAGGTACATGGGCCACCCCCCCACCACACACACACCCGTTCAGGTCCTTGACCTAAATCTCCACCCCAGATTCCTACCCCTGACAGGAATGAGATAGCCTGAAAAACCTAGACCCTGGATCCTTACTTTTCAGGGTGATTAGCTGTTTGACTGATTAATGACTGACTGGTCGAATAACTGGTTGACTAGCTGATTGACAAGCTGGCTATCAATGGGCAGGCAGGCAGGCTGAATGAATGAATGCATGAATGACCAACTGATTGAAGGGCTGACTGAGCAGGACCCTCCCTTGCTTCACAGAGGTGAAGGCTGTGGTTGATCCCTTTCTCCCTTCCTTCCTCTCAGCTTTATGTGCTGAGTCAAGGGCAGTGCGTGTACCGGGGGAAGGTCTCGAATCTCGTGCCGTATCTGAGGGACCTGGGTCTGAACTGCCCTACCTACCACAACCCTGCCGACTTCGGTGAGTAGAGCCCGCCCGGCGGGAAGGAGAGGGAATCTTCCCAGTCTTGTGTGTTCCACTTTGGGCTAATGCCCAAGTCGGGAGTTACTGACCAATGGGGCAGGGCTGGGGTGGTACCTGGGGGACCTCCAGGCAGGCAGGCAGTCGTGACTTCCAGGAGGGCTTGTCCAATGACCCTGTCGTTGCATGGCCTCACCCTCTGTCTCAGCCCTGTGGCTAGACTCAGGGCCAACCCTACATCCATGAGTGCTTCCTAGAAACACCTTGTTCTCCAGGGCCGCTCAACGGTCCCAGCTGGACAACCCCCCTTTGTAGCTTTTCTTCCACAGCTGTATTTCTTTCAGACATCTGGCCACACAGACCCCAGGGTTCCTTATGTCGCTTCCCAAATTGTGTTCTGGAGCCCTTGGCCCTGGGAATGTTCCTCACCCTCAAAAAGCAGACTGCCATGAGGTGGAGAGGGGAGGACATGGGTGAGGGAAAGTGCCACTTATGGGAGGAACCAGGCATATTAAACGCCAAGGGAAAGACCTTGTTTGTAGTCGACTTATTTCCTTGCAAGCGAGAGCAAGAGAGTGGTGCTAGGCACTGCTGAGCAGGGGAAAGGGAAGAGGAAGCCCAGAGAGGAGGACAAGCAGGAGGGAGGAGAAACATGCCTCGTGGAGAGAGGACAGGGTGGCCGCTGTATCTGGCGAGATGAGCGCGCCTCTTCCCGGGGCTTCTCTCCTTGGATGGTCCTCTGGAGGGAAGGTGGGGACTGTGGCCCTTGGGAGTGATGCCAATAGGCCAAGGAGTTCAGAGATGGACCAGGCTGTGCTGGAGGGCTCACTCGGTGCCACGAGGGATGCTTTTCTAGATGTATCCTGGCTTCAGCTTGATGTACCACTTGGAGAAGGAGTTTCCAGTTTGCTCGGGGGTACAGGGGAGGGAGGGTTCTTTGGGCAGCTACCGCATGGCTTTGAGATGAGGGCTGGGTTATCCAGGGAGGTGGTAGGGGAAGGAACAGGACTCAGAGGTGTGTAGACAGCGACACACCGTCGTCACCATGGAGTGAGTGGGGACTAGTCAGCGACCACAGAAGTAGTCTAGGCAGAGGGAACTTGGACAGGTTCAAGGAGGGACCAGAGGAAGCAAGCGAGGAAAACCAGGAGAGGAGCTAGTTGCTGGGAGGTGAGGGGTGTGGCCCGTGGTCTCCGGCCTCCAAGCAGTGGACCCTGTGCGCTGTGGGTTGCCCGCCCCTGTGGACCATTTATTGTCTCGTCTACTCAGCACTTGAGCAAGGAGCTCTGCTTCTTCCTGCTGATGTTACTAGGGTCCAGAGCAGGCATTCAGCATGCGCTCTACAGATGGTCATGGCGTAGATGCGTGCACATTGTGTGTTTGCCTCTCTGGTCTCCTGACACCACGACACACTGACACACTGGGGGTTGTGTCAACCAGCATCCCGCTGCCGTGGCTCTCAGGCAGCGCCTTAACTCATTTGAAAGCATTCTCATTACCATATAGGCTTGGCTGTTACAAAGTGACAGAGGCCCTCAGTTCCCATCAGCCCTGTGCTTTGGCTCCCCGGGACGCCCCCCCTCCCCGACCCCGTCTCACTTCACCTTCTGTGTCTTCCACAGTCATGGAAGTGGCGTCAGGAGAGTACGGTGACCAGAACAGCCGCCTGGTGAGGGCCGTGAGGGAGGGCATGTGTGACTCTGACTATAAGAGAGACCTCGGGGGAGACACAGACGTGAACCCGTTTCTTTGGCACCGGCCTGCTGAAGAGGTAAACCAGGTGGAGGGATTGGAGTGGTCCCGCAGGCTGGCTCCCATGCCAGACGGGCCTGCCACATATGGGCCTTTCCTGAGCTGGGAGGGTGGGCATGTGGCTCACTCGGCCCTTGCACCATGTGTCCTCAGGACTCCGCCTCCATGGAAGGCTGTCACAGCTTCTCAGCCAGCTGCCTCACCCAGTTCTGCATCCTCTTCAAGAGGACCTTCCTCAGCATCATGCGGGACTCGGTAAGAGTGTCCTTTCCTCACTCGACCTCCCCTGCCAACTCCGAGCACACACTCAAGTTGATGTTTCTTGGTTTGCGTCAGTCAGCTGTCAGCGCTGTGCTGCAGTAACAAAGAGCCCCAAGATGTCTGTGTCCACGTGACCCAAATAATGTGCAGTGGGTTGAGGTGGGCTTGGCCCCATCTGTCTTCTCATTCCAAACCCCAAGCCAGAAGGCTCCAGTATGGACCTGCAGAACAGTACTATAGGAAGGCAGAGGACTGGCATCACGCGGAGTGAGGCAGGGGATGGTAGAGATTTGAAAGCACCATAGGTCCAGTGGGCACTAGGCCAGTGTAGCCTCAGGGCCCTAAGCTGGAAGACCTGTAACTTAACATATGGGCTCATGCTCATAGCAGCCCAAGCCACACAGCTCAGCAGTGAGGGTCTCTGGGAGAGTCATCCCACACCACTGCTTTGTCTCCTCTAGAGGGAGACCAACCTTGATTGCCAGATTCGAACAGAAGCAGCAAAGCCTAGTAACTCTGTTTCAGAGTACATGAGCTCAGTGTGTGTGTGTGTGTGTGTGTGTGTGTGTGTGTGTGTGTGTGTGTG